TCGACGGAACTAGATTTTCTGACGTAAGAATGAATACATATGCTAATAGAGGCACAGGCGATACTTTCTAACTGACCAATCAGCTAAATGAAATTCGTTACGAGTGAGTATCACAAAAATACTATAGAAACATATCTTTTATGCATTTGAGTCACAGATTAGACTCGGACCTACTTGTGTACCATTTTTAGTCACGTATTAAAAGATTGAGGGGCAAAATGAAAACCATCTATCCTTCTGTGTTCAATAATCCAGAAGTGAAAAAAGAATTAGATTACATGATCAGTACGTGCTGGTCCCTGCTGACAAAGCAGGTAATGTCATTGTCTTCGTTTGTTAGGCTCATTATATAAATTGCACATCAGAAGAACTTGGATTCAATTCTACGAGTGGTAATCCAACTTATACATATACTACTCTTTCTAAGGAAGAAATTTTTCAAAATCACCTGTCAGTTTTGAATACTTTTAATATTCCACAGAGCCAAAATGAGTTTGAACTACCTTATATATATTGGATTCCGAAACTTCATAAGAATCCTTACAAACAAAGATACATTGCAGGTTCCAGTAAATGTTCAACCAAGCCTCTTTCGTTACTTCTCACTAAAATATTGACAGTAGTGAAGGAAAAACTTCAAGAGTACTGTACAACTATATATTCAAGAAGTGGTGTAAATCAGATGTGGATACTTAAAAATTCTAAAGAACTTTTGGACAATTTGAAATCACAAGACTTTATAAAAATCAACAGCATAAAAACTTACGACTTTTCAACTTTATACACAACAATTCCGCACGACAAATTAAAATCCAGGTTTTTTTTATATCATTGACAGCTGCTTCTTCAACAAAAATGGAACTCGTAAATTTACTTACCTCGTCATTGGTCATTTGAAAAATTATTTTGTTAAAACAGATTCTGATTGTACACATAAGTACTCTGAAGTTGACATCAAGAAGATGCTCGAGTTTCTGATTGACAATATCTATGTGGTTTTTGGAGACCAGGTATTCCAACATTCTATTGGAATTCCCATGGGTACAAATTGCGCTCCGTTATTAGCTTGCTTATTTTTAAAATCATATGAAGCAGAATTTATGCAAAATCTTAAGCGTGAAAAGAAGAAAATACTTGCTGTGGCCTTCAACTCGACATTTAGATATATCGACCACGTACTGTCAATTAATAATGGTATTTTCCAAAATATATAACAAAAGTTGAGCATATATCCTGGTGAGCTTGAAAAAAAAAGACACCACAGAGTCCGATTCTTCTGTTTCATACTTGGATATTTTATTTGAAAAAGACACTAATAGTAATCTAACAACCAAGCTATATGAAAAACGTGATGATTTTAACTTTTCTATCGTCAATTTCCTTTACTTAATATGCAGTAATATACCTTCATCACCTGCATACGGAGTATATATATATCTCAGTTGATTCGATACGCAAGAGCATGCTGTACGTATGAACAATTTCTAAAACGAGGTAAATTATTGACAAGAAAGTTGACGAAATAAAAATATCAGCAGTCTCGTTTAAAGTCATCATTCCGTAATTTCTATGGTCGATACAATGACCTTGTCAGCAAATACAGTTTATCATTGAGTCGAATGCTGACTGACGTTTTTCATACCAATTGTTGGTCCATTTATACACTGAAATGATGACGGATTTTTCCACTTTTTTCTGATCATGACAACGAGCACACGACGGGTGTGACCGGTCGGCAGGGGATGCTCACTCCTTCATGACTCCTGGTCCAACCTCTGATGTTTCGGGGGTCCGCGTTTGCTCTGCTCTAATTTTGTATTGTTTTATGGACTTTGAGATTGAATACTGTTCGTTATCTCCATATCCTTCTTGAAAAAGATAATAAATATCTGAAAGAAAATTAACTAATCATAACAGGAGAAACAAAGGACATCAAAGAAATTCTAGATAAAATGTATATTTTGTTTTTCCGATCATCAGTAAAGGAATTTTAGGCACTTCTGAATTTCTTTTTCTTGCCGATAAAATGTATATCTTCTACATGTTCTAGGTAAATGAGATAATGACCATTACACTTTCCATAAAGTTTTATGGAGTCTTTTGTAAAGTGTTCTGAAAAGTTTATATTAATACGATGCCTGGATTAGAGTTTAGAGAGAAAGTCTACCTTGCGCAGGGGGAAAGTGGGAGGGGGATATACATTACATAAATCTTTGCTTTCTAAAGGTTTCAATGTGTCTAGAACATCAAATGTTAAATGTCAAGGTCCTGTTAGTGAAAAGAATGAAAGGAAGTAGTGTTTATAAAGGTCTTCCGACTTTCTTCGGAAGACCTTGTTATTCTTAGGTTTCTTTTTCACTTTTATTAGGGTCTTTCGAGCTTCCTTCCTTTTCCACTGTTTCTAATTATTATTTTCTTTTTTTCCCCGCCGTATTTTTTGACAGACAATTTCTCAGAGACTTTTAGACTGATTTTTTTTAACTTTCAGGTTAGATACCTTGTACTTACACCTACACGTGTTTCACTTTTTGATACATGTTTTCTTGGTGAGTTATTGCCCTTTAATTGATAATTTTGAGGTCTTGTGTCCACTAAAAATCTCAAGAACGACGTACGATAATTACCCGAAAGTTGGAGAACTTGTAGCCAATACGTTGTAGATGAGCAGAACGATAAAATTATAAGCCGATTTCTTAGAAATCAGAAGCTATGTGACTGAAAATTTTAGTAACTCTTTTTCCTTGAAATATTGCTACTTTTTGTGTAATAACTTTTGAATAATTTGGTAAAAAATATATAACAAAAGTTGTGCATAATCACAAGACATTTAATATAAGATCAAGGATTGAAAAGGTGCCGGTCCCTATATTTAGGGGTTAATACATGTAGCTCATACACGGATTTTTTCTGATAGCTAAAACTATTGGTATTTCATGAAAAAGTTTGACTGAAATAATTTCTTACTAAATAAATCTTGTCATTTGATATGAAGAATAATAAACTTCGGATCTGGAAAAAATGGCGCCGGTAGTGAAAGACGGGTAGAGCTCAGCTCCGCTGTCGTGGGTCGAAAAGGTGCAGATTTTCATATTTATTCAACATATATAGAAAAAATATAAGTTTGTCCATCAGCATCTGATTCAGAAGAATTAAAAAAGAGTTTTGAAAAAGTGTGAAGAACGGATTATTACTGACTTTGTCTTCAACCTGAGTTCTCGTGAGTAGCGCTTACGGGTCTGTGTTGTTGTGTTACTATTAAGGTCAGACGACACGTTCCTCAAATATATATTTTGTATTTTTTGGTATTATATAAAAAATATATCGTATTTGTCATTTTCTTCTTATTTCTGCATTGTTTTCAGAATGTTTTTAAATTCAAGAACTACAATAAATGTGACAAAGGCCATTCAGAAGATTACCCATAAGGGTTATATAAAAATATGACCCAATGGTATCTTGTTCAAATGCCTGGTAAGGTACCCTAATTTTTTTGTGAGGAAACTTGTTTAAGTATCTATACATCAAGGACAAATTCTTAGAAAAAATTATATATAAATTGTATATATTTGAGGAACGTGTCGTCTGACCTTAATAGACTTTTGATATTAGTGTATTGTGTCAATCGTACTCTTAAAAATTCTGTGACAATGTCTGAGAGATCAACTAGACTAAAGTCTAAATCTGAATCGAGTCCCCAGAATAAGGAGACAAACAAGTCCTTAATTGATGAGATCAGACGTCTGAAATCTGATATTATCACGAAAAAAGATCTCGAAAAGGCTGTTGAAAACATTGTGAAAAACGTTGTTTCTCAAATCTGAGATGATAAAATGAAGGAATTCAGTGAAACGTTAAAAGAAAATACAGAAAGTTTGAAGAAGGTATTAGAAGAATTAAGCGAGACAATAGATAGATTAAGTGAGAAAGTTAAAGACCTAGAGGCAGATTTGAATGACACAAAACAACTCGCTCGGGAGGCATATCTGACCGCTAATCGTAATGAACAATATTCGTGGAAAAATACTTTTAAGATCAATTGTGTTCCTCAGGAAGAAAAAGAGGATGTCGAAGAAGTGGTTCAGAATGTGCTACTTAATGGGTGCGGGGTTGGAATTCAGGAGAAGGACATAGCAATTCACAGAATTCCGGGAAAAGCAGACGGACCAAGGCCAATCCTGGTGAAATTAAAGAACAACATAGCAAAAGCGAATATAATGCGCAAGAGGTCAGATATTAAAAAGAATACAGATGGGAAGATCTGGCTGACAGACGATGTGACGAGACTGAATGGGATCCTCATAAACCGATTAAAAGACCACCCAAAAATAGACAATGCGTGGTACTTTAATGGAAGTGTTTATGGACTTGTGAACGATAAGCGAATGAAGTTTGACTTGTTGGACAATCTTGATGAAAAAATCAAATAGTGTAAAGTGTTATTTAGACAACCCGGAATTTTAATTTCCATCCATGTGAATATTCCGGAACTTTGATGTCCATTGACGTCGAAGTTTTTGCTATTACTTTAAAATATTAAATTCCGGTTGTGACTTTTGCCTGTACGCGATTATATGGCCCATTGACAATTTTCGAGCTAGCCAATTTTTGAACTGTTTGAATGCTTTTTACAAACTTTTTCCTGTTCTGCTACTTCTTTCCTTTCTACTCTATCTTTCTCTTTACAACTCAATTCTGTGTTTATTCAAGATTCGTACAGAAGCTCCAGTTTCCGTCAGAGGTAATTTCTTAATTATTCATCATGTCTTTAAAAATATTATCAGCTAATTGTCAAGGATTGGGGGATATCAGAAAACGAAGAGATGTTTTTAATTATCTTAGAGGAATGAATTATAATATTTACTGCCTTCAGGACACTCATTTTACAACTGAAATAGAAAATGAAATCAGAAGCATGTGGGGTTTTGACTGTTACTTATGTTCTTTTTCATCAAATGCAAGAGGTATTAGCAATTTTATTCAATAATAATTTTGAGGTTAAAATGTCTAAGGAAAAAGGAGACGTGGATGGTAATTTTCTTCTTTTAGAATTTACTGCTGAAGAAAAAAGGTTTCTTTTATGTTGTATATATGGACCAAACAATGATAACCCTGATTTTTTATGAAAGATTACATGAGTACATTAATGATTTTAATTGTGAAAATGTTATATTAAGTGGTGACTTTAATCTTGTTATAAATCCTGAATTAGACTACTATAATTATAAACATATAAATAACCCTAATGCAAGACAGAGGGTTATAGAGCTTATGGAAGATAACAACTTAGTTGATATTTATAGACAAAATAATCCAGATGCTTTGAGATATACTTGGAGAAAAAAAGTCCCATTAAGCAAAGTAGATTAGATATTTTTTTCTTGTATCGGAGAACTTACTGTCAAGTGTTACAACAAGTTCTATAGAACCTAGCTATAGGTCCGACCACTCGATTATTACTTTATCTTTAAAGTTCAATGATTTTAAGAAAGGCAAAGGATTATGGAAATTTAATAATTCTTTTTTATATGATGAAGAATTTTTAAACTCAATTAAGGGGGTGATACAAAGGGTTAAAGAGCAGTACTGTATGCAGTTCCAGTATATAATATAGATAACTTGAAATCTATTGAAGATGAAAATATTGCATTCTTAGTCAATGACCAGTTATTTTTAGAAACACTTCTTATGGAAATTAGAGGGAAATGTATTTCATATTCGTCTTTTAAAAAAAAATCGAGAATTTTTAAAGACGAAAAACTTATAAAAGAAATAAGTTCCCTGGAGGAATTGGCACAGGGATCTACAAACAATAATGAAACTCTTGAAGAAAAAAAAATGAGTTGGAAGATATTAAAACAGAAAAAATGGCTGGTGTATATATAAGGTCAAGGGCAAGATTGATAGAAGAAGGGGAGAAACCGAAAAAATATTTCTGTAATCTCGAGTCAAGAAATTTCATAAGTAAAATTATTCCAAAAATTAAATTAGAAAATGGAGAGACAGTTTATAATCAGTCAGATATCTTAAAAACAACCAAACAATATTATGAAAATTTTTATAGAAATGTTGATGATATCATTGAAAATGTTAACCTTCAGGAGAAAATGAATTTTTCAGATATTGAAAAGCTTTGCAATGAAGAATCAAGGTCATTAGAAGGTCAAATTACAATGAAGGAGGCAGGGGAAACACTTTCTAGGATGAAATCAAATAAATCACCTGGCTCAGATGGCTTTACCTCAGAATTTTTTAAGGTCTTTTGGAAATTTATAGGCATTTTTGTTGTCCGATCAATTAATTATGCATATGATCATGATATCTTAAGTGTAACTCAGAGACATGGAATCATTACCTGCTTACCGAAGGGTGGTAAACCTAAACACTTGTTAAAAAATTGGAGACCTATCTCTCTTTTAAACACAGTTTATAAAATTGCATCTGGTTCAATAGCGAACAGAATCAGAAGGTTTCTAGATAAAATTATACATCCTGATCAAACAGGCTTTATACAGGGCAGGCATATAGCTGAAAACATTAGACTTATCTATGACATTATGCAATACACAGAAGAAGAAAAAATACCAGGTCTTCTTCTTCTTGTTGACTTTGAAAAAGCATTTGATTCTGTCTCTTGGGCTTTTATTTAAAAATCACTTAAATTCTTTAATTTTGGAGAGTCTATGAGGAAATGGGTCAGTTTATTTTATTCAAACATTACATCAGCAGTAAATCAGGGAGGAAATTTATCTGAAACATTCTCTTTGCATCGAGGATGTCGTCAGGGAGACCCACTATCCCCATACTTATTCTTGATACATGTATGTGCTGAAATCCTTGCTATTAAGATAAGAAATAACAAAGACATCAAAGGTATATATTTTATTGATGGGGAAAAGAAAATCTCGATGCTCGCTGATGACTCCTCTCTTATATTAGATGGCAGTGAGAAATCTTTACAATCAAGTTTAGGTACCCTTAGAGATTTTGCAAAAATGTCAGGCTTACATATAAATTATGATAAAACACAAGTAATATGGATAGGTAGCAAAAAAGGTAGTGATGAGGTTTTATGTAAAAATCAATCTCTTGAGTGGGGAAAGAAAAACTTTAGGTTACTTGGTATTGAATTTGATATAGATTTGCAGAAGATACTTTCGAGGAATCTCAGTTCAAAGTTAGAAAACATAAAGAAAATGATAAGACATTGAAAACATAGGAATCTCACACCACTAGGCCGATTAACAGTTTTGAAAACACTTCTATTGCCAACATTGAATCATATTTTTGCCTCCCTTCCAAATCCCACTGATTTATATATAAAAGATTTAGAAAACACCTTTTATTCTTTTGTAATGGGAAGTAATGCTTGTAGACTAAAAAAGGAGTTTGTATTAAAGATCTTAAAGATGGCGGTTTCAAGATGCTTAGTATTAAAGAGTTTATTATGTCTCTGAAACTTGTATGGATGAAAAATGTCATACTGCAAGGTAATATTCATATCTTACTTTAGATTTAAAAAAAAAACAGTTTTTTGTGGAGAAGAATATATTCTCAAGAAAATTAAAGATGTAAAAAATATGTTTTGGAAAATGTTTTAGAAGCCTGGCTATTTTTTTCTAAAAAATTACCAGAACCAGATGCAAGTGTCTCTATGGAACCATTATTTTTTAATAAAAATATTCTGATTGGCAAGAAAACAATTTTTTATAAGAAATGGTTTGAAAATAATGTATTTTTCGTAAATGATCTCTTAAGAGAGGACGGTTCCTTTATGGACATTAATATGTTTAAATTGAAATATGGAATCCATACAAACTTTCTTGAGTACAATGGACTTATAGCTGCTATCAGAGAATGGATGAAAACCAAAAATATAATTTCTATGCCAACTGTGTATATGCCATATATTACACAAAAAACATTCCGTTTATTAAATGCGAAGAAATCAAGAAATTTATATGAAATTTTGAAAAGCAATGACATCAAGCCCTTAGGTCAGACTAGCTGGAATAGAATTTTTAACTTGAATGATAGTGAATGGGAAAAAGTTTTTTCATTTCCTTTTAAGTTCACAAAAGATACAAAACTTCAGTGGTTCCAGTTCCGCATTAATCATAAAATATTAGCAACAAATTCCTTTTTACATAAAACTAAGAAAATAGGTTCATACAAGTGTTCTTTTTGTGAAACTGAGACAGAAACTATTGAACACATCTTCTGGGAATGTGATGTAGTACAAGACTTATTGAATAGTTTTGATAGTTATTGTTTTAGAAAGATTCATATTAATGTTGTATATTTGAAAAAAAGAATTCATATTGGGATCTTTTGCAAAATTAGACAAAATAAAAAATCTCATTGCTCTTCAGATTAAATATTTTATCTACAGAATGAGATGTAGTGGTAAATACCTCTCCTTGAATGAACTGATATCCTCCATCAAATATATGTATGAAATAAACAAGTATATTGCATATAAGAACAATAATCAGGTGACCTTTGACGAAGCCTGGAAACCCTGGAAGAATCTGTTTTTGTAATTTTTTTCTTACTATCCCTTCTCGCTCTCCTCTCTCTCTTGCTCTACTTCTCACTCTGTCTTTCTCTTTCTCTCTCTGTCTCTCTCTCTCTCTCATAAAAAAATTACAGAAAATATATATTTGTATTTTATAAGTATGTATTAGAATCTGTAAATAAAAAAAAAGAATAATAAACTTCAAGCTATATTTAATTCTTTTTATAAAACAAATATGTGAGAAACCTTACAGGAACAAGTTATCTACTATTGTCTATAGACAACCAAGCCTTTACCGGGCCTCCTGCACAGATTTAGTTGATGCATTTGAAAGATATAGTTTTGATTCGGTGTTTCTCTGTTTATTTTTTTGTTTTTTTTTTTGTTTTTTTTTTATCAAATAATTTGAAATGTGATGATATTAAAATCAAAATATTTTTCCTGCATTAGTTTAGAGGAAGTTTTTTTCAGGGCCTCTTGTTTGTAAACAACGCGCGGCATTGTGGGAAATGGGAAGGTGCTAAAGTTCAGATTTATATAGATAAAGATCAGGTCTCTAGTCAGTCCGGTTTTTAGTGCGTCTCATCGAAATGAGAAATGTGAAGTTGAATTTTTTTTCTCACCAGACAAGCCGTATGTAGACATGCACGGACATTTAATCTGCAGCTGTGAAGTACTCTATCAATCCACTGGAGCATTATTCTAATCAGAATTATCCGATTTTTATGAGTGTGACTAAAATGGGTAGCGAAACCCGGGCCGGGCCGGGATTTTTGATAACGAAAACCGGGTTTTTGATAATAACGAAATAAATACTCATTCTTTCTTCATGAAATTTACAGACATAGTTTTTATTCTAGGACTGGCCTTCGCTGAAATTTTTAGGTCAAAATGTTGTGTTTTTTAATGATTATCACTGATTGTCCTTTTCCAAGTGACTAAAATGGGTAGCGAGCCCGGATTACTCATTTTGGCGATTTAAACTTTATTTCGGCAGCAAATTTACAATTATTTCATTTGGATCTTTGGTATTAAACTTAAGCTACCTAAAACATTTAACTGTTGTAGTAATAAATCAAGATTATTGAAAATGAATGTCAGACTGCTCGGCCCAGCGACACCTGGGCCCAACGATACCTCGGCCCATTAACACCTCGGCCCCTACGGCTCGGCCCAACGATACCTCGGCCCAATAACACCTCGGCCCCTACGGCTCGGCCCAAATTTGCAGACACCTCGGCTCACATAAAAGACACCTCGGCCCAAACAGAAATATGATATTTTAATTAAATATATTTATTATCTATTCTGTTATATATATCTATGAAATGTAAAAAAAAAATTAATTTGATACATTTGCAATCTTTCAAGACGGCAAATTGACGGTAATTAAAGAAAGACAATCCATTAGAAACTTGATTGTAAGTGCTAATCATTAAACAAACACGAAGACGCGGTGCAGTCTCAAGCGAGTCTCATACGGGGTGGTGTGGTGACAATGAGGAGTTAATTA